GATTTCTCTACCCTGTCTATCCTTGGCCTTCCAGTAAAAACAAGAATAACTTTCTAGATTGATACAGTTTTGAAAACAGTGAGTGTATAACCTCACTTGTTTCTGTATAAAACAGTTACAACTCACAAATATTCTCTGTTTTTAATGTATTATGTTTCTGGTCTAATCCAGTACCCAAGACATTATCAGTGTTTGGTAGATAGCATCCTCTTTCTTCCTGTTTTCTTAAATTGTAACCACATCTTCAGATGGAGAATGAGAAGTGACTCACAGCTTCATCCTGGGAATGACCATGTGTCAGAACTGGCATGTGCTACATGCAAAGCTACGTCTGTGTTAGCACATAGGAAGTAGTGTGGTTTTAGCCTGGTGCCCATTTTTAAAACAAATAGACTGCTAGCTGACCTCCTTGGGTAAGTTTACCTTTGCCAGAATTTTAACTACCTATAAATTTAAGATTGGACTTCTTTGAAATTGTCTGTAGAACTGAATCTCCAAGTCATCTGTGTTCCAAAATTTGAACTGTAATTATAACTTTATTTTGAGCCTGGAGTTAAAAGAGAAGTCAAATTGTTAAATGACTGACATTCTAAAAGAGCATGCAGATTGAAAATTTATATTTAGGTAATTGAGGTTTTTTTGAAGTTCAAATCAATAATTGAGGTCATTCTATTGGATGACTTAGCCTAATCAATTTAAAAATTCAGAGTTATGTAAAAAAGGGAAGGGGAATTATTTCAGATTAAAAGAGATATAAGCATACAGCCATTAAAATGCGTGATTTTTGTCTAACTCCTACTTTGAGGAAAAATAAGTGAGAAATACTTTTTGAGATAGTTGGAGAAATCTAAATGTGGACTCGTTATCTGAGCAATAATGTCATGCTTAGATGCAGTAATACAGGTTGAATATTTCTTTTCTGAAATGCTTCAAGTCAGAAGCGTTTTAGATTTCAGAGTTTTTTGGGTTTTGGAATATGTACTTAGACTTTACTGGTTAGGCATCCCGAATTTTAAGAAAATCTTAAATGTTCCATGAAACTTTTGAACATCCTCTCAAGGCTCAAAAAATTTCAGACTTCAGGGCAATTTAGGTTTTCAAATTGGGGATGTTCACCCAGGAGCATTTGATAATGTAGGAGAAACTCATTGCTTGGGAGTCTACACACACATATTACAGGAATAACGTTTCACGTTTTTTGATTTTTTGACATAGATTAGCAAATATGTGTATGAAATATGTCAAGGATTAGCCACTATTGAATCTAAACAATGAGTTTTTTATATGTAAGTTCTTGATAATCATGCAAGTGATGATGCTTATAAAGAGGTCATCTCCATGAGAAAGTGCTAGGGAACACAAAAGGGCCTCTTCAGCTGGCCTTGCAGCTTGGGAGAAGGCATTGCTGGAGGTGAGCCACATAGGTGGTACCTCCATGCTGGGCTGTCTTGAAACCTCAGTGGGCCACATGCAGGTGTTTCCTCAGGCTCGCTGTGACGGTGGGAGAGGGGCTTCATCGTTAGGCACCATGCCACCTACTCTTCTTGGTACCATGGGGAAGTTCGGTTCACTTTAGCTATAAGTCTACTGGAATACAAGGGAGGCTAGATGGATTTGCGCTGAAAACTCCCTCTTGAATATTTGCTGTTCCTTGAGACTGCGAACTATCAACAACTCAAATAAATGAGCAGTCCTTTAAAATACATTACACATAGGAGCATGTCTATTCTATAAACCTTGCTAATCCAAGGTGGGCTCTTCATAGCTCATTATGGTTTTGGATTGTTGTAATTATTGCTTTGCTGTTAATGAAATCTAAATTTCTATTCTTCTTTTTTTTTCTTTTTATTGGTACCGGGGATCGAACTCACGACTGCCTGCTTGCAAGGCAGGTGCTTATGCCACTGAGCTAGCCCCAATAAAGCCATTTTGGAGAGTAGTTTATTTTAGGTGAAATAGGAAATAACATAGTAGCTGAACTATTTTGGTTGCCCTTTCTTGCTTTCATAAACATTAATGATCTTAATGATCACCTTCTCCTTGTTTTTCCTTGTGAGCCAGAAGAAAGTTAATGTAACAAAGCATCATTTCATTCTTCAGTATTGGGTTTGAAGATTATGTGGAAGGAGAGAGAAGTGTAACAGCTCTTTGCAGAGTACAGAATACAGGAAGTGGCTCAGAAACTGGAGACTTTGGGGACTGTTTAGGATGGCTTTGCTGGTACTGGACCACCTGAAATTTAGCAATTTAGAATTGTACATTATTTCTAGAAATACGCATAGTCAAAGAATCCTTGTGGAAAAATGCTTCCATTACCAAGCCATCCTTTTTCTAACCCAGTCTCTTTCTTCTGCTGCAGATTGTTTCTCAGATTGAGAAGGTCCTCAGTAGTCAGCAGGAAAACAGGCTTACTTCTGTGTGATTTGCCAATGCCTCCTAATTCCAGAATACTGTTGTCAGATAGCTTTCAAATAAGAGGGTTGTCACTTTATGATTTCCTTTTGCTTATTTTCCCCTAGTCTCAAACAGATTGAGCTTTTCTGCATTTAGAACACAGCAGTAGAAAGAGGGAGTTGGTGCATAAGTAGAGAAAGCAGAAGGCTTCCTGGATCCTTTGCCAGATTGCTGTTTAGCTTCAGGAGCAGTAGAACTTTGCTTTAGCACTGGCTGTACACAAAAATCTCAGTGGCCTGTTCAACTCTAAAGTCTGTTTCATTAACAGCAGAGGTAAGAATCCTTCTTTATTACTACTGGTTATCTATGGATAAATGAACTACCTCTCAGTGTAAGGCATTTCAGTTCTGTATGTTTCAGCAGCAATAATTGTCTGTATATCAAATTTAGTTTTTCATAAGAGCTGGCAAAGTACCCTGGTGTTTAATCTCTCTTCAAGCTCCTCTTTAAATCAACTAAGCAAGTGTAAATCTCTTTTAATATGTTAAACTTGCCCTTTTGCTTATAGGTGCCATTAGGCCAAGTTTTTCACAGAAACCTCTAATAACAAGATGCCAGTTTAGGTAGTAGTCCTTTAACATAATGTTATCTTGTAGAAGATACACGTGTAAGGGGCCAGGTTTTCATAAACTCAGTTCTCCTAGTAATTTCAGCCAGAAATCATTTGGAATCTGCCTTATACAGCTGTCTTTCTATAGAAAACATCATTTTGGGACTTTATTTTTCATTGGATGATTGCACTTTTTCATTCCATGTTTTGGAAGACTCAAAATTACATGGAAAAATAACTTAAATGTTGCTGTATCTGTGAGTTCCAAATTACTAAGGATTCTTCTCTTATAAACTACTCTCCACCCAACAGTAAAACAGACAGATATAGAAGGGACTTCACTGTCTCAGTGACCTAACGAATGAAATATTTGTTGGAAAGCACTCAGAGTAATACCAGTATGTATAGTTTGCTTAACACGTTGAGCAGAAAGAAACCACATGACTGAAATGCAATCTGTTTTCGAGTGTACTGAGAAAAAATATATTTCATCTGAGTAAATCTGCAGATTATCCTTTTGTAGATGTCACTGTTATTTCATAATCTGCGTGACTAAAGCAGTTGTGCTGTCGTGGTCTCTGCTTGTTTAGATAGAACATGGAGTGTGTGCTCCTTGGTGTCCTAGGCCTCTGCAGGGTGTCAAAAAGATGCTGAAAGTACAAGTAAAAGCTTTAGTTGTATTTTAAGGATGCAAATTTGGAACAGTCATTGTCACAGACTTTGCAGGGGAGGAGGAATTGGGTTTCCCTAGAGATGATCTAGAAGTTGTCAAGGTCACCTCTCCTAACTCTTAGCCTTTTCAGTTTCATGGGTAAAATAATGTCTCAGAGGCTTAGCAACTTCCTGACATCTCAGACCTAGGGACCCTTGTCCTTTCTACTGAGGCTTTTACTTCTGGTTCTTCTACCTGGTACTTGAATATGTTAACTAAAAACAATTTTATTTGATCTCCCTGGGGTGTGAGACACTGGAAAAGAGGAAAGGTTGGTACTGTGAATTATTTGAAGTTCTCTTGCTACACTTACGATAAGTAGCATTGTCTCTTTTCACAAGAGAGATTTACTCCTTTGGAGAGGCCTCTTTAATTTAACATTATGTTTGTGTGGCATGTTTCATTACTACCTGTAGTTATAGCTCATTTGTATTTTAAGGCCAGTATAATATTTCACTGTGTGTATACCCCCATTTTGAAAAATTCTACAGTTGGTAAATCTTTACATCAATTATAGTTTCTGTATATTGTGAAGAATGCTGTTATGAACAGCTTCATAGGTCAGGTTGGTTTTTAAATTTGTACTGGTATCCGGGCTGGGGATTTAGCTCAGCGGCATAAGCGCCTGCCTTGCAAGCAGGCAGTCGTGAGTTCGATCCCTGGTACCAATAAAAACGAAAAAGACAAAAAAAAAAAAAAAAATTGTACTGGTATCACTAGCACCGGGGATTCCAGCTGTCTCATGTACTTGCTGATGATTAATTCTTCATTCTGGTGAATTGGGGACTTTTTTTTTTCTTTATACACTACTGTGTTTCTTTTCATTTTGTTTAAAGACTGGCTATACTTGAATTAGGGAATTAGGAAGTAACTTATTTACTACCGAAATATTCTCATTTGTGCTAATGAATAATGAATATCAGAAGGTAACCAAGTTCTGTGCATTCATTTACACTCAGTTGATTGTCCCATCTGAGAGCTCCAACATCCAGATATGTTAGGTCCCCCCCCCCATTTTTCCAACTTTGCTGATGATATGACTGAACCCTTTTAGGGACTAAAGACTGGCAAGTATCATGGCCATATACATGGAAGAGCCAGATTATAATGTTCTTCTTTTCCTCTCAGGTGAAGCTCTCTGGTGATTCTTTTATTCTTTCCCTTGTTAAATAGTTACTGTTAAATACTTATTGAATACACATTTGAGGGCAGGCTCCGAGCCGGGCCTCTTGGACTCAGTGGCAGACAAGTTTATAATACAATAATGTTCCTTTTGCTTTACAGGTTATGGCTATCAGATCACTGCGTACTTCCTCAAGAGAGGGATTCACCTTCGCTGCATTGGGAGCTCACAGAACACGAGTAAGAATCTGTTTCTTGGGCCATCCAACCTTTCACACAATCCACTGACCCTAGAGAAGGGATAAATGAAGGAGTAGAAATTCCTATTTGTCCATTGTATTCCTGTCACTGAGTATTTCCAAATGTTTGTGATTTTTTTTCCTCCCAATTATTCTGTGATTACTGCCTGAGGACAGTGAACTGAGCACACTGATCCCTGAATCACTCTGTCATTGTTAGTGCACACCAAGGCCTGGGACATAGCACAGGTATGCACAGAAGAAAGCACTTTCCCAGCCTGGGGCCACCAGAGCCTTCCATAGGTGTGACAAGGCCAGTTCATACCCCTCATTTCTCCCAGTCAGGATGCCAGCTGAGAAATGATGTCAGACTTGTGTAGCCAGTAACAGCAGTCAGAAGCTAAGCACTGTCCTCCAACTAGATCTGAGAACTGGAAGGAAAACAGCTCAGTGTCCTTGGACAGGGTCAGTATGCGTATAAGACATGAGACAGGAAATTAAAAATTAAAAATTAACTGTATCGAGATTTGCTTGTGAACTTTCCATGATTGTGCTCCTTTAAGCCAAAATGCTGCTTACATATGTTACCCTCTTAGGGACCTTCCACTTTGCCCACTTCTAATAGTAAGATAAGCCTGCTGTCCTTTTACCTGTTACAGTACCTTTTTTAAAAAAATTATTTATGTATGTATATATAGATGGATGGATGGATTTATTTTGGTACTGGGAACTGACCACCTCACACTTGCCAGGCAGGCATTGTGCTACTGACCTATATCCCCAGGCCTTAAAATAACTTTTAGCTACCCTTTGTGGTAGAGACTGCTATTGACTAATTCTTTATGTAAATATTGCAATAATGAGCCCTTAATTATGACCTAAATAGCTTTCTTTTTTTTTCCAAATAGCTTTCTATTAATATAATACCTGACATCAAAATGTGCAAAATACTTATTTTTCAGAAAAAAAATAGAAATACAAAAGGGAGGCATTATTTGATAAAACCGGTAATTTTGAATTCTAACAGTTTAATGAACTGTCTATATTTCAGTCTCCTGATTGTGGGGTGAAGATGATGAATTCTGTGGCTGTTTCACTTTCCATAAAGTAGGACAAAGAGCACTTACTATGTATCTTAATAATATATTTTAGGAATTTATGCATAATACAAATTGCTTTGATCATTTTATTCTGGCTTTTCAAGGCCCATCTGTAGTCACTGAGCCATATGTAACATCCATGAGGTGAGGGTCAGAGTTTAGAACCGGGCCCCTACCTGAAAATGAGATCTTGAATAAGATGGATCAATCTGGAGTAAGGTCAGACCAGTAGATTGGGCCCTCTTCACAGAGGCTAGGGAGACCAGCTGTGAACAGGATGAGGGCAGCTATGTTTTAAGACCCTCAAGCTGTGTGCTGAGTAGGAGAATTAGAATACAGTGACCCTTGAGGTGACGGCAGTATATCCAGGGATCTAGAGAGAGCTGCTACTGGAGCATCAGCTCTTTGGGCCTTTTGATATAATTTAATATAGATGAATGGTGAAGGAGTTAACTATGTTTAAATCATCTGCATAACCCCCACCTTGTGCTTGGCTTCCCAGTGAACCAAAGTGAGGCACATTGTCAGCTTGGGGCCCTGGCATGCAGGGTCTGTAAAAAGATTGATTTACCTGATTCATAATATCCATGTCTTTAAAAAACTGATCATATGTAAAGGGAAGTTTTCTCTTTAAAAAAAAACATTTTGCGTATGTGTTACAAAGATATTCAGCTAATGCACTAAGTATTAAGAAAGGAGGAGGGCAGGCCCCCCTCACCCACCCCAAACAGATACGTTAGTGCCCACTGCACAGCACTGCATGGAGCCACCAGGTGACCGATGAGGGGAAAGATGCACTGGGATCCAAAGGAGACCCAGATGGCACTGCTGCAGTTCCTATACCCTGTGTTGGCTATTGAGTCCTGTTCTGCGATGCATGGACCCTTTCCCATCCAGAAGCCAGTGGCTCTGGTTTTAAGGTGCTGCAATAAAAGATCATTACTGACTATTGTGTAGCTTTAAATGTTGTTTTATTTACCCATTCCTTTAGTAGTCTGATCACTAATTCCTAAGAGAAATTGTTATTTTCAAAACCAATCACAGCTCAGGAGTTCACCATCTAGAGTAGGGGACCACACTAAGACCAGCTGTCCAGGGAGATGATAATAAACCGACTAGAGAAAAGTTGGTGGTCACATTTTCATATTTTTATCTAACACGCTTCCTTTTTATAAGTCTGTGCTCATTGGAAAACAATGCTTCTAAAGGGAAAACCACAAACTGACACAGCAAATTGCAGAGGCCCTCCCCAGGTTCCATGTGCTGCAATGGTTCAAAGATGTAGGTAGACCTGTTTGCAGCCTCCTGGCTCTCCCTGGGCCATGTGCTTATGCTGCCTATTGATTGTAAACACTGGAAGGAGGAAAGGAGGAGAGGGAGAAGAGACACATGTCTTACATTTGTGTGCATCTTGCACAGTGTAAAATGAATACAGAAATCTGGAAACAAACATTTCTGTGTTCATAGTTCTTTTGATACCTTCCCAGTAACGGACTTTCCTCATTTTGTACAGAACTCCGTGTATTCCCTGACCAATTTGTGGTCTGCGTTCGTCAGCTTGCAGTCAGTCCTGGTATCTTGGCAAATCAGAAGGAAGAACTGGTATGTATGGAGAAATTCTGTAAACAAACCAATGAGCTTAAGTGCTAGGTTACTGTTAAAAAAAACAGGGAAAAAACTGTCTGCTGCTGTGACTCAGCTGTTGAGCACTCAATGCGTATTAAAGGACCAAGATGTCCTACCTGTTTTATGTGCTCATATTGATTAATTGATGCATTCTAGTTATTTCTTTTTTCCCCCAAATACCGCTTGAATATTTAGTTTGATCAGCAGTATCTTTTTTACTACCAGTATTAATGAGAAAGCAACACATTACAAAGACCATGATGCTACTTCTGGTCATATTAAAATGAAGTAAAGCAAAGTCCACATGTTTCCACTGGAAGTTTTCATCGGGGTCAGTGACTTTAGGATTTTATTCCATGGTGGTGAATCACAAAAACTTTCATGAGAACCAGTACTTCTCCCTAGTGTATTGTTTCATAGCTGCTAGGGTTCATATTCACACACACACACACACACACACACATGCAAACGCACACACACACACACACACACACACCCATGCTGAGCTGCATTAAGACCTGTTTCTTTGTCACTGGAATTCTTGGATAAAAGCAAAAATCATATTCACTTGTATGAGCGATAGAGCTCACTTGTTAAACTTCGGTGGTGTGCTTAGGGTGCATATGTGTATCTTTCTGCAGTCTGTAGTCCAAAGTGCTTCCTCTATCCAGACTTTTTAATGTTTTTGAGCATACTATTTAAAACTTTCACAAATAGCAAAAAAAAAAAAAAAAAAAAAAAATAGCGAATATTCACCCAGCCATGAAGTATGACATGATTATTGTTGTTGTAAAATAATTTATGGGAATATTAGATCATCTCTAATGTTTATTTTTTTAATTCACTTGAAATTTGGCCCACATAATCTAAAAGCAGCTTTTTATCTCATCTTAAATAAATATATAAGAAAATGGTGTTTCAAAGACTATGGTAAGAGGGAATAAGGACCCAGGAAAAATTAACAGCAAAAAACTGATATTTACTTTGGGATTAGTTCATTTTGAGCAGAGAACCCCTTTAGAAAAGCCATTGTGATCCATATATTTCATCTTCTCTACCCATTAAAAATGCTACCTATGCACACTGAATGAAAAAAATGTAGTAAATTTAGCAAAAAGTATTAAAAGTTTATCGTTTGAAATAGTTCCAGGATGCTGAATTATCCTTCCTATTAAGTCATTAAATGCTGAAGCAGTAATGCTGTTGGCATACAACTTTAACTTAGTATCATTTAACTAATTTTAGAGCAAAGCAATAGATCCGTGGTTTAAGAAAACAATAATTAACTGTACCAGAAAGTAATGCTGCTTTCAGATGAAATACAGAAGAAATTAGATCTCTTATCTGATGTGTAATATTAATACTTACTATCTTAAATATTAAGGGAGAGTTAAAACATCTCAATACAAATGAAATGTTATCCTCCTTAGGGGCTGTGGTATTTATACAGATATAAGTTTTCTATAGCTGCTGTTACATAAATCCCACGATTTGGAGAACTTCCTAAAAGTTGAGAATTGTCATTTTGCAAAGTTGAACAGTCTGAGTCTTTTACATGGGAGAATTCAGAATCCTTATCTTGAAAATATTCTGATTTTTAACAATAACATGATCAGAGTTAACCCTATTAGCTTGTAAGGACAGTGCCATTTACATCATGAGATTTGTTGTGAGCGGTTCTTTTTGGCTATGGTTATTCTGTGTCTACCGGTGCTCATTTTGCCGAAGTCTGGCTTTCCCTCCACCTACACACTTTCCCAGTGTCACACCATCCAGAGAACAGTCCACACTGCTGGTCAGCCCTTCACCAGAGGAAAGGTCCCTACCCCCACCTCAGCTACTCACGTGACCCCTCCTCACCCACCACTTCCTCAAGCTCCTCATCCCAGAAGCATAAAATACCCAGGTTAAGTAAGGGCTCTTTCCACAAATTGCCCGTCAAACCAGCTCCACCGTCCTCCCACCAAAAGTGTTTTAGAGCTTAGTCCTCACTGATACTCGACCTTTGCAGAGCCTGCCTGGCTTGGTTATTTAAGGATCAATAAACAATCCTTTCTCCCAGAACTGCCTTCTGCCCAGAGAAGGCATTCCTATTCCTCCTGATGTACTTCAAATGCCCAGAGCTGTGACCTCAGGCTCCCCTGAGTATTCTTTGAACTTCCTTCAAGTCTTGAATTCTTTTGTCAGTTTACATTGATATTCCACAGAGGGCAGGATCCATCTCACTCTCTTGGTAGTAATTCTCAGGGAACTTCTGAGTGGGCAAGGCCTGGGAACTTGGCTCCCCAAGTAGCTCTATTGGTAGTGAACTTTCATTATTTCCCTGTAATTGTTCACTGCACTCACTTTTGTATGCCCACAGAAGTGAGCTAGCACCTGAGCTACAAGCCAGATGCCTTACTTTTGCCATAGCTCTGAGGGGGCAGATTCCTTTTCTGTCATCCTTTCCCTGTCATTTGGGTCATCAGTGTCTTAAGTGACAATTTGTTAGAATATCTGGGAGCATCTCTTCAAAACTGCACTGCTAAGAGATTTTTTTCAGCCTGTAGACAGGGAAGCAGCTGTACATCCTGTTCGTAAAAGCAGATGCACATAAGGGGCTGGGGAGTTAGCTCAGCAGCATAAGCACCTGCCTGGCAAGCACAAAGTTGTGAGTTCGATCCCCAATACCAAAAAAAAAAAAAAAAAAAAAAACAGTACACAAGGAACCACTGTCCCAAGTCAGGCCATACAGAGGAAAGTCCCCCTCCCTGCCAGGGCAAAGCAGATGCAGCCACACTGTCCCCATTCCGGGCCACACCACAAGGTCTGTTTCCGGCCGTCCACAGTCCTCTCTCCACTGGGGGTTCTGGGTGCAGGGAGATCCTCCATGCTGCAATAGCTCTGCCCCAAGTGCCCATGTGCTCGGGATGTGGGAATTGCAATGTGTACTTTGGGAAGAAAGGGCATTATTATGAAATGACTCATTGTATTTTTCTTACTAGAGTTTCTCATAAGAAATCTCAAAACTCTTGTAGCCTCAGCTTTTGACCTATTGCTTGATTGGAGCTAGGGAGCCTTTTTAAGAGTTTTTACCTTCAGTTTTTTCTTTGTTGATCTTCACTTTTTTCCCCTTAAAAAAGTAAGAACACGAAGTTTTTACTGTGCTCAGTTATATTCCATTCCAACAGTATTTTCCTTTTTTATGAACTGAAGTCTATCTAAGACTTCTTTCTCAGACATATAGGTCTGCAGCTTTCAGAAAATATAAAATTAGTTTATTTTTATTCTTTATTAAAGTTGTAAAAACAGCCTCAGAATTGTCATATATCTATAGGCCACTTTAGGGCCAATGCAGAGCTCCATCTCACTGTATATTGATTCCAGCCATCCCTATTCTGTGGAGATCGCCTTTCCCATCTCCTGTGCCATCACATTTAACATAATTTGCTGAGTGCTGCTCCATGCCAGGAACCTCCACCAGACCTTAAAAAAGAGTAAAGAGCTATGAAAAAGTGCTTTTGCCCTCAGAGAGCTTATAGTCTGACAGACTAAAAGGTTTCCTAGTGACCTAAAAATATAGCTCAACTGAAATGTTTATTTTTCCTAATGGGGTCTCCTTCCTACACCCATATCCTTACCGTTCAGTCAGATCTGTTCTGCTGTTCCCAAAGAAAGACTAAAATTCTAGACCTGCCTTTTTTCTTTTGTAAAAGGCAGTGATCTTTCTGGAAATAAAATACAACATGTAGCACAAGTGCTGCCTACAAAGAGATGTATCCGTTAAGATATTTGGGTGCTCTGCTTGTGCTGCATTTGAGTTGTGGCCAAGCTGTAGTTGTGCAGACCTAACCAATCATGCAGGGCTCAGTTCTTGGTGTAGCATCCACTAAGTAGGATGATTACCGGGAGACTTTCTAACAAGGGCCAACATTCAAACCCTAAATTGACCACTTCTTAAAGTCAGACTACTACTTAACATTTTAAAATCTCCTATTTAATAAGAGTGAAGTGAAAATTAGTCTCAAGCAGTAAACTACCTGGGTTATTTTTAGCTCAGCTGTTGTATTCCTCAACTATGTATAATCCAACCTCTGTAGACTTTAGTCTTCCTTAATCAAGGGGGAAAGATTAAATCATCTCAAAAACCCTTTCTCACACAGAATTTCTATCAGGAAGCAGATGAAAACGTAGCTAAATATGAACTATAAAATAATTTGTACAGATAAGAGCTTTATTGTTACATTTAAAAATTGTGATAAAAATATTTAGGATAGAGTTTTACATAAGGAAAGTAAGAAGTTAAAAGGAAAGTTTTAGGCCTTAATATTTTTAGAACAGAAGAAATAAGCTACTTAACAGTTTGTGCACTGACTTCCATACCTTGATGACAATCTTTAATGTTCGTAAGTGAACTGTTACTTAAGTGTAAATGAACTCATTCAAAAAATCCTTCACTGTCATACTAAAACATTTAAAGAAGTACTGGGTGAATGTTCTGAGGTTTTCATGATATATTACAGACTTTAAAAATCTATACTCCTTTCTTACTGCATTTCTTAAACAGTGCTAGTGGTGAATTACACGAAAGCCATTAAGAAGAGACTCCTGCGGCACCAGGAAAAGCTCTGAGTGGGGAAAGGCTATTTCTGTATTTTCCATGACGTTCTGAAGTTAGTTCTTAATAACTGATTGCCAAAATTGTACATGTCCATTGTACAAAAAATTTAAATTCAGATATACACAGAGGAAAAAATGGTCTGCCACCCCCAGCCCAGAGATAACCTCTGTTACTGATCTAATCATATCTCTCCATACTTCATGCTTAATAACTGAGATCAGTGTGTATTTTTTAAACTAGGACCCTATTCATTTGTGAATTATGAATTGTTGTCCGTTTTTCTATTGACATTTTTGTATTGTACAAATTCCTTACTGTACAAAACCTCCTTATATAGTAAGGAAAGTAACTCAGTGAGTTTATTGTTTATGTTTTA